TCACGTACAAAGTTTATGCAGCAGAATTTTAGTGTTGAAGGGGAAGCATACTTCATATATCCTTTTTCAGAAACTGTTCTCTGAATCATGAGTGGCTTCCACAGGTGTTGTGCATGGGGTGAACTTCTGGCCTTGTACCAGGAAGAAGGTATCATACGGAGATGACACAGATATGAAAGGTATCATGATGCAATTCCACAGTTGTCCCGCACTGGATGTGCACAATTGTCCAAGAAGCTCATCCATGTAGAATTTTTGACCACCTCTGACTTGCTGTATTTGTGATATCTGTATCTCAGTTTCTGTGTCCAAATTTAATTCTTATTTTATTGTTGTAGGGACAGGGTCTCACTATGTTGCCCAAGCTGGTCTCAAATTCCTAGCCTCAGAGAATCCTCCTGCCTTGGCCTCTGTGCATGGAATTTTAAAATAACAATTGCAAGAAATTACAAAAAACCAAGAGTCAGTTTATGAATTTAATCTTCTTCCCAAAATTCAGAAACGTAATCAGAAGTCACAAGCAAGGTAAGACCATGCATCATCTTTGATGGTGTTTCCCATTTCCATTGGATAGAGCCTCAAAAACATGTTGAACTGACTTATAAGGAGGCACCACACAGAATACAAACCTCAAGCTGCACTGCCTGCTTGAAAAACCCTCCCGTAGGTTGCGGTGAGCCGAGATCGCGCCACTGCACTCCAGCCTGGGTAACATGAGTGAAACTCCGTCTCAAAAAAAAAAAAAGAAAAAAAAAAAAAAGAAAAACTCTCCCGTTTTACCTGCCCCCTAATTCTTCCTGTTCTTCATCCCATTAGCCTACACTGCTCATTTTGCCCTTTGCATGTGTCGTACCGTGTGTTGCTGTCTTGTTTTATATTTATGATTTGTTTTCTCAAATCTCCCAGACCGCATGTGTCATTCTTTTCCCAGTCACTCTCGAGGTCTGGTAGATAAGATACTTGATGCTCATTTTCCAGTGATGAGGATGACGATGATGACAATGATGATGGAAATTACCCTGCAATGCCCATTCTCCACTTCTTTACCTTCCTTCCACACCCACTACTTCAATGAAACTGCTCAAGAGCTCCTGGATGCTGCAGCCAAATGTGGCTTTTATCTCTCAGCAACATCTGACACTGTTGACAATTTCCTCCTTCTGGTCAGATCGGTTTCCCTTGGCTTCTCTGACTCTTAAGTTTTCCAGGTCCTCCTATCCCTCTGGACTTTTAAATTCAATTACATCTCACACATACCCATTTGAAAGGCTCCTTGTCACATTCATGATAAAATCTCAACTCCTTAATAGGACTCACAAGTGGCTTTTTGATCAGGCCACTGTTTATCTTTTCAGTCTCTTCTTTCACTGTTACCCTTTTGTACCATAAGCTCCAGGCGTTCTGAGCTACTTCTGGGTCACGGGATATGCCATGCTCACCTGCTTCCAGTTACAACCCTTGAGTTTTGCCAGCTTAACTCCCATTTATCCTTGCACTTCACTTCCTCTAAGACCAAATGTGGACTAGTTGCCCTTTGCATATCTACCTTCAGGAGCCTGTACTCCCCAATCATTGCATGATCAGACTAGGTTATAACAGTCTGTTTGCCTATTTCATGTTTGTCTTGTTCAGAGTTATATTCTAACACCTCACTCGTAGTAGACATTTGATAAGTATTAGCTGAATTACTTTATTCTGTCAAGCTTCCTTTCAGCATCTGAGTGAAGGAGTTAGGAAAAGTACATTAAAGTGGTTTTCTTTTTTTTTTCTTAAACAACCAAAATAACTCCTCCCGAAATAGGAAAGATGAAATCTACTGCCTCTCTGTAACTCTCTGGAACTGATAATCTCAGGCGATAGTGCTAGTCCAAAGAACAGATACAGAGTTTCATCCAAGTGCATGTCAATGACTTACCATCAGTGAAGAAGCCTGAAGCTCTGGCTATTTTTGTTCTTTAAATTCCCTGTGTTCTGCTCCTGTACTTAAAGCCAGATGCAGAGGAATCCCAGGATTCAGAATCCCTCATGTTAGCTGCCTTGAGTGCAATGTGGGAAAGAGAATGAAAACTTCCACTGCTTAGAGGGACACAGAGCTCAGGGGTAAAAATGAGCAAGGACCCAAGTCATAGTTTAAGCATGGGAGCATGTGATCCAGCTTCCACCATATGGCTAAGAGAGGGCATCCTTCATCTTCAACATATTTTACCTGCAGTGGTTTTTTACTTCAATTTGACAGCAATATTGTCTTTGGAGACCGTTTCTTACTAATGATACTTTTCTTCTGTTACATGCCAGCCACACCAAAGATGGCCACATCAGTGTGACTGCTCCTAAGATGAAATGATCTGTGGTGTTTTAAAAATAGTCTGAGGTGAACAAACCATGTTCAGATTTGCATTTCCTTGAAATGCAATGTTATTTTTTAGTTCCTAATTGAAAAAATTTAAACTGCAAGTAATTAAGTGTGGGGGAGCGCACCAAGGTGGCTCACATTTAGGCACATGGTAAACTGATTTGCCATTGAACAAGAAGGCTAATATTAGGAATGGGTGAGCCAAGCCATGCTTTGTATTTGTTCAACGTCTCATACTATTTTTCAAATGTCATGGGCTCAGCAAAACCCAAAACACATTTTCTCAGCACTTCTCTCTATTTTCCAACCCATATGGACTTCGAGAAAAGTTTGATTCATATGTTTCTGATTTATTTACATGCAAGTCATCAGAATGTTGTTTTGTAGAAACTATTTGATGTCCAGAAAGCCTAGAGTCTTTTCTTTGAGGTTTCTTTATTCCCCCTTAGGATCAGGAAGCCATGGTTTCCAAATACAAAAAAAATAAATAAATAAATAAATAAATAAATAAAAGGAAAGAAAGGGAGAAAGGAAGGAAGGAAGGAAGGAAGGAAGGAAGGAAGGAAGGAAGGAAG